CGACGACAGATGATGTGATTCACTTTTTGGTTGAGTCAGCACCCCAAGCGACCAACCAACTTATTGAGGCGGGCCTAGCAGCAGGTATGACACAAGGTTTGGGCGAGCATGTGATGTGTTCATGATCTGAAGTGCTGGTTGTCTTTCTATCGAATGTCCTACACCCGTGAAATGTATCACATGCCTGAACATTCTCTGCCTCCACATTCTCTGCCTAACAGATCCTGCTTCAAACGACACTCATACTGGCGTAATTGTGGAAAGACATCGAAAAGAGTACGGCCGCATCTTTAAAGAACGAGCGAAAGGAACTATGGAGGATGTAGTAGCCTTGCATCAACGGCCCAATCGAGTGCTGGCCGGTCTTAGATACTCCTTCCCAGTAGTGCAGTATGATGCGCGCAGAAGACTGCGACAGGTTTCCGGTCGATCATGGGGAGGCGCCAGGCGTGGCGCGGCATTTGCAGCGACGTGTAATTCAGGTAAGATTTGGAAGATGCATCTGAAGTTGGCTTGTTTTGGACGTGAGTAATAAACGACGTCCCGTCCACACTCCCTATACGTTTCAGGGGCCAACCATGGAGGGAGTGGCAACGTCATGGGGACCGAACTGCCAGATGCGCCAGCCGTAGGCACGGATGCTGATGAGGGCGTTTCCGGAGTGCCCAGAGATACTGCGGTGGCCGCGCCTGCACGAAGTGTGACGACGACTCCAGAACGGCCAGTGCAAGGGTGAGAGTAGTGGTTGCGGTGGCTACATATGGCGAAATGTCATTGTGCACTATCAAACACGTCGTTGTATCCATGTCCAAACTCCCCTCCTCTTTGTGTCCACTAGGCTTGCCAACAGCCACCGACGAGCAGTTGCGCGTGGGAGTGTCCCTAGGCACTGGCCTTCTGCTCCGAGCGTGGATGACATCGACGGACAACGGGTATGTCTTGTCGAGCCTCGACAGTTGGTTGGGTTCTTCCAAGGGTGTCGATTGGTGTGTTCACATGAACAAGCGTGTAGTGAAGGGATGACATTGAGGTCATGGAAGTTCTCATGGGCATCGGTCGGCATGTTTTGGAGATGCGACGCGTGTTCGCATGGTGTAGAGTTTTGGTCATGTCCGAGCCGGCGTATCGAGAGAGCACGAACCGGTGTAGGCGCGCATTCTCCGATGCTACAGTCTAAATTTGTCGGGGCATTTGCTTTAGCCGGAATGGGGTATCAGCAAATGTGGGAGTTTTGTCGCAACGTCGGCTTGCCAGCGCCAGGGAAGGGCACATTTTACAAGTACCTTGGTGATGATAATGGGTTATGGAATGCTATATTGAGAGAGGCTGATAAGACTATGGCTGCGGTACGAGAAGAGATGATGAAGCGAGAAATCTCTACAGAATATGTAGTGGTCGATGGTCGATGGTCACATGTCCGTGAGGGAGAGTGGTGTACAGTATCGTTCTTAGATTTGCCGTCCAGAAAGATAGTGTACTGTGCGACGACACGAAAAGGGGTGGACGACACTTCGTCGGTGCGACTGGAAAGGGTGGCTTTCGATAAAGGGTTAGATGAAGTGGCGCAGAAAGGGTTTACGGTGGAAGGGATCATCTTCGACCAAGGGACTACTTTTCGTGGGGCAGCGTCCGAAAGAGGGTTGAACCACCAGGTGGATTGGTGGCATGTGAAGCGGACGCTTTACAAGTTATTTCTGAAAGAACTTCAGGATGCGGTCCGTGCACCAGTGGCTGTGGACAAGGCGACCTGTATTGAGGATCTATGGCTTGCGACGATCGATGGGCTACGGCAATGGCTGACAGCACGGGGGTTGGAGAAAGAGTTGAAAGCTTCACTGAAAGGGGACTTGGTGGAATCCGTTTGTAAAGCCATGGGCACGATTGTTTACCGGAAGATGACCCTGGAAGAGGCGAAATGGAAGTTTCCCGAGCTAAGAAAGGTGGTGCGGATGGGGGGGGGAGTGTAGCCCAGTGGAGGTGCCTGTGACCTACGGCGAGGTGCCTGGTGCTTCTGATGCCGATGTGCGGGAGCGGGATGAGGGAGCTGAGCGGGCTACCGTGGACAGGCCGACACCGGAGGAGTGGAATGTTGACGTTCAATGGGAAGACGTGGAAGAGCTATGGAGTTATGATGTGCACCCGACGCTAGGTGCGCGACCGACATCTTTGGCTAGCACCCTCATCATGCTTGGGCACGCTAGTGCAAACGGAAAGTCCCATTTCATCGGTGGATCCACTTCTTGGGCCAACACCGACACGGAGACTGGTATGCATACACCGCTTACCAAGTTTTGGGCATGCATGATCCAAGTGCTACTCTATACTCAGTTTTCGTATTTCGTTTTCTAACATTCACAGATGCGCTAGATGGAGTCGGGGCTGATACCGAAGTGCAGAACCCTAATGCGTTCAGCGAGCCCGAGACACTACCTCGGTGGACTGGTCGCCGAAAGCGGAAACGAGGTGAAGATCATATCGATTCTGGCAAGGAGGAACAAACAGTGGCACAACGCTTATCCACTCATTTCTATCACGTGATGGTGCGATGTGGTGCGAAGAAGAAAGAGGGGCATCCTATGACCCCGACCGACGTGGCGAGGGAGCTTGGGAGCCCACCCAACCACTGGGCCGGTGACCACTCCGGCTGTACTGGGGTAGGAGAGACCCCACCTCGCTGCGTCAGAGAGGGGTGGGGCAAGGACCATGCCATATATGAGTTTGGGTCGTCGACACACAAGGCGGTTTGTGCATGGTTCTCCAAGCACTTAAGCTCTGAGAAGGTTAAGTCCTTTGTGCATGGCGCGTCCAGTTCTCTGAACGAGTCTTTCCATTCTTTGATCATCAAATATGCACCTAAGCGGATACGGTTTCAGGGCAGCTTCCTGGCACGAGTCGGTCTCGCGGTTCTTCATTGGAATCACGGCATGGATCGCCTGGTGACCGCCTATCGCACTAGAGTCCGACAGGTGACGAGGATCAGGCGCGGATCCAAGGAGCGCATCTTGACTAAAATGGATTGGGCTTGGGTTGATGGCATCATGGAGGAATGGCAACAAACACTGCGGCATGGAGATAATGTGGATGTTGACAAGATGCTTGAATCAACAGCAACGACTGTGCAGCTGGTCGATGCATCGGTCGCACAGCCCATAGCATCTGTTCTTGAGCCAGTGACACCAGTGCGCCAAGGCGGGTTCGGTCCGGTGTGCGGCACGTCTCGTGGATCTGCTCGCCGTCGTTTGGGTAAGCAACGGCAGCGCAACGTGAGTTGTGATTGCTCAGTATGGCTCATACTCGACGTAAACATTCTAGCCAGCGTAATGTGTTCACCATCCGCGTCTTCCAACCCATCTGTATGTTGCTTATAGGTGATGTGTCGAACCTCCCACGCTAAGTGCCCAAGGCGAATATCAGGCGAGTTTTCAAACCCGTGCGAGGCTTGCTCCGCATCACGCAGAACCACCACAACGCCCACCACGACAATCGACCCCCCCAAAGGTATTTGACAAACACCCATCGCCCACCATGCTATAACTTGGCCTGCTCAGATCTCCCATTCCCTACCATGCCCTGCCCTGCCATGCCCTGTCATGCCCTACCCTGCCCTGCCCTCCCCTGCCCTGCCCTGTCATGCCCTGACCTGCCCTGCCCTGCCCTGCCATGCCCTGTCATGCCCTACCCTGCCCTGCCCTCCCCTGCCCTGCCCTGTCATGCCCTGACCTGCCCTGCCCTGCCCTGCCATGTCCTGCCCTGCAATGCCCTGTCCCGCCCCGCCCCGCCCTTGTCAGCACCCTCATTTTTCTGCGATGCCATGACTATAGGGGCCATGCCTGCCCTGCTTTCTCATGGCCCGCCCTGCCCTTGTCTGCACCATCCGCGTCATGCCATGCCTCTCCCATGCCATGCCATGCCTCTCCCATGCCATGCCATGCCCTGCCCTGCCCTCCCCTGTCATGCTCCGCTCCGCCCTTCTCCCTCCCCCCTCCAGGCATGCCCTGCCCTGCTTTCTCATGGCCCGCCCGGCCCTTGTCTGCACCATCCGCGTCATGCCATGCCTCTCCCATGCCATGCCATGCCTCTCCCATGCCATGCCATGCCCTGCCCTGCCCTCCACTGTCATGCTCCGCTCCGCCCTTCTCCCTCCCCCCTCCAGGCATGCCCTGCCATGCTCTGCGATTGAGATTATTCATAGCTACAGGGACACCACTCTAAATTCTGGCTTATCCTCCATCTCATTGGCTATAGCTGCAGGTTACCACTGTGAGAGGGATAAGGCGGAATTGCCATCGGATCAAGTGGATGATGTGGCAGACGCAGTGAACAAAGATGCGGAGGAGTGGAGCGACGATAGTGATGAGTGGTGGCTAGCAGGCCACTATGACGGGGAGGAAGTGGAGGTGTGGGTGGCTGGTCAGGATGAATAAATGGGGTTGTGTTTCCATCCCCACTGTGCTAATTTGGTCTTGAACATGTCATGCTTGCATGTGTGTGGAGGACTATGCCGTTCTGTCCTAAACCTAATCATGCTTCTTTGCGAAATATACTTGCACATATTATAGTTGCAATATACGTGTGGATGAAGGTAGCCCGGTGAAACTACTCCATTGCTTCGATTCTTGAGACCCTTATCCAGCTCATGTTCCATTCTGCTTAGGGCACTAGATTGTTTGGTATCCCAAAAAGGATACATCCATGATATTCTTTCACCATTATCTTACTCCAAAGGTGTCAGTGCCCAGCTCTGTTGGCACTTTAGTGCAAATTATTGCCTAGGTAACCACTTGGCATCCAATGTACACTACTTCAGGATGGCTTATACTTGCATTTCACAAGGACCTCGTTCACAATGCGCAGTGAAGTGAGCCACAGTACTGGAATCGACACACCAGTTAGCCTGCCAACACATGGCAGATGCATGGGTGGGATAGAAGGTGCACGACTTGAGGGCTCAAAATTTTACCGGTAGTAGCTCAGAGTAGGAGCAGACGAACCAGTGGCAGCTATAGGATCTCTGGAAGGACTTGCTGCTGCTCTTGAAGCAGAAAAGCAGGAGTGCAAGGGCTGACAGCAGCGGTGCAAGGGCTGACAGCAGGGGTGCAAGGGCTGACAGCAGGGGTGCAAAGGTGGAAAGCAGGGGTGCAAGGGTGGAAAGCAGGGGTGCAAGGGGGAGAAGCAGGGCTGCAAGGGTGGGAAGCTGGGGTGCAAGGGTGGGAAGCAGGGGTGCAAGGGCGGAAAGCAGGGGTGCAAGCGTGGGAAGCAGTGCATAGGTGGAAAGCGGGACCAGACGAAACAGTGACAATTTGAATTCACATTAGCGGTCGGTATTTCAGGAGTGGGTGATATGAAGGGAGTGGGAAGTTTGGAACAAGGGTGTAGGGATATGAGAGGAGCAGGGAGGTTGTACATGGGGAGGGAGAGGATGGGTGGGGAAGCAGGGAAGGGGATGGGGGGAAGCAGGGAAGGGGATGGGGGGAAGCAGGGAAGGGGATGGGGGGAAGCAGGGAAGGGGATGGGGGGAAGCAGGGTAGGGGATGGGGGAAAGCAGGGAAGGGGATGGAGGGAAGCAGGGAAGGGGATGGGGGAAAAAGGGGGAGGGGACGAGGGGAAGCATGAAGGAGGGAGGGGGGAAGCATGGAGGAGGGAGGGGGGAAGCAGGAAGGAGGGAGGGGGGAAGCAGGAAGGAGGGAGGGGGGAAGCAGGGAGGAGGAAGGGGGGAGTGGCAGGTGAGGCAAAGGAGTATGAGAGGAGTGGGGGGTATGAGAGGAGTGGGGAGTATGAAAGGAGATTGTACATGGGGAGGGAGAGGATGGGGGGGGAAGCAGGGAAGGGGATGGGGGAAGCAGGGAAGGGGATGGGGGGAAGCAGGGAGGGGGATGGGGGGAAGTAGGGTAGGGGATCGGGGAAAGCAGGGAAGGGGATGGAGGGAAGCAGGGAAGGGGATGGGGGAAAAAGGGGGAGGGGACGAGGGGAAGCAAAAAGGAGGGAGGGGGGAAGCATGGAGGAGGGAGGGGGGAAGCAGGAAGGAGGGAGGGGGGAAGCAGGAAGGAGGGAGGGGGGAAGCAGGGAGGAGGAAGGGGGGAGTGGCAGGTGAGGCAAAGGAGTATGAAAGGAGTGGGGGGTATGAGAGGAGTGGGGAGTATGAAAGGAGATTGTACATGGGGAGGGAGAGGATGGGGGGGGAAGCAGGGAAGGGGATGGGGGGAAGCAAGGAAGGGGATGGGGGGAAGCAAGGAGGGGGATGGGGGGAAGCAGGGTAGGGGATGGGGGAAAGCAGGGAAGGGGATGGAGGGAAGCAGGGAAGGGGATGGGGGAAAAAAGGGGTGGGGACGAGGGGAAGCAGGAAGGAGGGAGGGGGGAAGCATGGATGAGGGAGGGGGGAAGCAGGAAGGAGGGAGGGGGGAAGCAGGAAGGAGGGAGGGGGGAAGCAGGGAGGAGGAAGGGGGGAGTGGCAGGTGAGGCAAAGGAGAATAGACTGTGGGGTGAACAGAGGTGGTGGGAGAAAGGGAGGATGGTCAAAATGAAGAGGGGTGTAAACAAGCCTGGGGAAGTGAGGTCGACGAGGAGAGGGAGTGAGGGAAGTACCCGCTCTCCCCCTCTGTCCTTCCCCCTCTGTGCCCCTCCCCCTCTTATCCTCCCCCTCCGTCAATCCCCTTCTGTCTCCCCCCCTCTGCCCTTCACCATCTGTCACTCCACCTGTGTCCTTCCCCCTCTATCTCTCCCCCTTTGCCCTTCCCCCTATGTCTCTCCCCCCCTGCCCCCCCCCCTGTACCTCCCCTCTCTGTCTCTCCCCATCTGTCCTCCACCCTCTCCCCCTTGAACTTCCACTTCTGTCCTTCCCCTTCTTTCCTCCCCTCTGTCCCTCCCCCTCTGTCCCTCCCCCTCGTTCCCTCCCCTCTGTCCCTCCCCCTCTGTCCCTGCCCCTCTGTCCCTCCCCCACTATCCCTCCCCTCTCGTCCCTGCACTTTCGTCCCTACCCCTCCTTCACTCCCCCTCTTTCCCTTCCTCTATGTCCCTCCCACTTTGTCTCTCGCCCTCTGACAAGTGGGGGGGATGCTGGTGGTGTGCGGGGGGGAAAGGAGGCGGACCAGTGGGGGGAATGCGCGTGGTGTGAGGGGGGGAAAGGAGGCGGACAAGTGGGGGGAATGCGCGTGGTGTGAGGGGGGGAAAGGAGGCGGACAAGTGGGGGAAAATGCGCGTAGTGTGTGGGGGGGAAAGGAGGCGGACAAATGGGGAGAATGCGAGTGGTGTGTGGGGGCCTTCGCTAACGACGGGGAGTGGCGACTTGGGTAGACATGGGCGATAAGGGGAGATGCGTGTGGATGGGGGAAACTGAGGCGACAACGGGAGGCGAGGGCGTTGAGGAGCAACGCAAGAGACGAGCGTAAGTGCGGGAGACTCGAGTAAGCGTTTCAGACGCGGGAAAGAGTGCGAGACGCGGGCAGTAATGATGCGGGTAAGCGCGGGTGACCTCGGGTAAGCGCGGGAAACGCGGATAAGCGCGGGTAAGTGGGGATGACACGGGTAAGCGCGGGTGACGAGGGTAAGCGCGGGTGTCGCTGGAGAGCGCGGGAAACGTGGGTAAGCGTGGGAAGCGCGGGTGAGCGTGGGAGACAAGGACAACCTGGCGTGACGAGGGAAACGCTTGCGACGAGTGAAACATTGCGCGACGAGGGACGCGCGGGCGACGAGTGCATGCGCGAGTGCAGAAGCTCTCGTAACGTGGGGTTGAGGGAATCGCAAGGGAAGCACGGGCGATGAGGTGATGCACTCGCCACATACTAAGTGTGGGAGTCTGGACGAGGCGAGGATGACGCCTGAAGGCAGACTGAAGCCAAGTTTTTGTTGGGCGGGCCATGCTATGCTGGCCAATGCGTTACGGGCGTTGTATTGGAGGTAACCAGCAGCCTTTGCCGACCCATGACTGTGGTGCACTAGAACGGGTGTCCCGTCGCTGGCATGCAAAAATGGTACGGTAATAGCGTGTTTGGCTTGAAGCGGGTGCTCCTCAGCTATTGGCAAGACAGCGGGAGTGACGAGAGCTGGAAGGAAAAAAACGCTTCTACCTAAACTAGCTTCTATCGCTGTGCCGCGCGTTTTTTAGTTACGTGCCTACTCTAGTGGATTAGGAGTACCACTTGGTCGTCAAGTTATGTGAGAGGTGACCACGGCAACATGGTAGTCGATGTTCGGATGTGTTGTGCGACTGGGCACAAAAACCAATCAGAAGTGACCGTCGCACTAAGTTTTCCCTGGGTCGCGAGAGTTCTTTCAAACAAAAGAGGGTAACCCTGTTATTTACGATTTCAAGTTCAAGAATCTTGAACTTGAAAAATACCATGCTGTACTCGGGCTTTAAGACCATCTCCCGCCCGCCCCTTCACCCCTCCTCCAACCTTCCTTCCCTCTCCCGATCCAGTTCCTCCCCCTTCCGCCCTCCACCCTCTCTTTCCTCTGCAAAAACAGGGGAGGGTGTGGGGATGTTTGGAGAATGATCATGTTTCCCAATGGCTGTTGTGTACCCTGCAGAGGAGACAAAGGAAAAATGGCTTGGTTATCACAGCCCTATGCCACAGATGATCCCTAATTCGTAAGCCTCCGTGTCGGCACCTTAACAGATCACGTGCTATTGTTACCATATATTTGTTATCAATGTTTGATTATAAATGATCTTACATTCATGACCTTTGCATCAATTTTAGCAGTCATAGCTTGCTGGGCTGGGGCGCTTGTCAAATGCAAGTAGAGAGAGTAGCAACATCTTTTTTTTAAGCGTGATAAGCTGAACCAGAAAGAGGGTGTATATATGCCTGCTTCGGGACTCTTCGTGTCAAATTTGATGCATCCCATCCCAGGTCGCAGCTATTTTTCCAGCTGAGTCCGCAGGTCTTGGCGTATATCAGGTCAGGTGTCTCGACCACAGACCTATGTAAGTTCTCCTGCATGGATCTTGTCAAAACTTGTGGCCAAGGGAAGGTTGCGAGGAGCAAAGCCGAGGCTGACTGAACAGCACAGAAGGATGGCCACAACATTGGATTGGGGGGGACGATGGATGCACCGCCATTGCTGTGCTTCGCATCGCACACTGTACGTCTTGTTTGGTCTGCCCTCGTTCCTGCGATGTGTGGGGCTTGCCTTCACTGGTTCGGTTCTCTTCCCACCCATGCTCTTACTGTACACGTCGCCTCGTCGGGGACTCGGGGCACTGGGGCGATGGATGCATCAAGTTTTTTCGCCAACCACACTCACCCACTCAGCCGACCAAGACACCTCCCCCGGCTTGGTGAAGCCCCAGGTGGGGAGGAACCGAGGAGGAGACGACTCCTCGCGACTCGTAAATGTGAGACGCCGCGCGGGAGGAGCAATTCCAAATTCCAAAAGCTCCAAGCTATCCTTGCGCGAGTCAGCAACTCAAGCCTGTGTCGTGCGCCGCAGCGTAAACTTTTCCAGTGCCATCACGACTGTCTTAACCCTACCTAGCGAGATCTGTTTCGACGCTTGTGCACGTTCTCTTTGAAATCACATTTACATTTTGCAGCATTGGTTCCGTCGTGATTCAGGCTTCTCGAAAAGGTAGTAACCATTTACGTAACAATTCCGCCGTCTCACAGTAGGTAGTTCAGGACGGTTCGACAGCCACTCGTCGCTTAGTCAGATTTGACTGATTACATCACACGGCAGACTTCCCTCCTGCTATTGCGGTGTCGGCCGAGAGCCCACATCTGGGTATTGGTAGTTGACGATTGTCGTCGGCTGGGGTATTGGTAACTGAAGATTGTCGTCATATTGGGTATTGGTAATTGACGATTGTCGTCGGCTGCACCCTTCCCCACCTCGAGAGATCGAGCATCCACGATCCTCCTCGACCTCAGATACCTAGCCTGACGTTTCCATTGGTAGTTGAAGCTTGGGTCGTCTCGAGTTCCGCGATCCTCGCTCGGCTGCGGACTGACTCTGGCCGTCGAGTCGAGTGCAGGCGACTCCGGATGATGGCGCGACTGCCAGGCCGTGCCAGCTCAGCTATGGCTGCTACCACTACTAGGATAAGCGTTCTTATGCTTGTCCTCCTCCTCCACCTCCACGCCGCGACGTCGGTATCACCAGCTTCGTCTCTGGGTCAAGAATCCCCTCCGCTTGATGCGGCCCGGACGAATTTCTTCTGGCGCTTCCTGCGAAGCTGGCAAGCAGCGCATCATCCGCCGCGATCGGTGGCTGGCGCGGTGAAGCGGCCGTCGCTATGGCTTCAGTACCGGCGCCACCTGAGTGGGAATCCTGCTGACGCGAACGTTGACCTGGCATCGTTTACGAAATACCACGGGGACGGCGGGCCGTACTCGCTGACTCCTGGGATCGATCCCATCGACCACTCGCTTGATGACGTGGCAACGCCTTTCGGACGGCGTCGTCGACTGCGTACGTGGCATGGAGACTCTCCCGCATCCACTAGCCTTCTTATTCTTGCGTGTTTGTTGTCTTTCCCGCCCATTCACCGGTCCATACGTCTTCCCTACCTCCTCTCCTCTAACTCTTCTCACACGTCTCGGCCCCCTTCCGTTTTACCCACTCTGTCATGATGACAGAAACGAAGAAGCAGAAGGGACCATGCACCCCCCTCTCGGAAGCCAAGGTCATCTCCGTTTCAAGCCCGTCCGACATCGAGAAGCGCCTACAGTACCCCAATTCCGTCACCGTCATTCTCGAGGTCACCCGCGACCTCGTCCTTCCCAAGGGACTCGTTTTCTCCGGCGCCTACCGATGCACAATTTTCCGGTCAGCCCAGGGAAAGCGAAACTTCAAGGTGTCTCTAATGGGAGACAAGGAGCCGGTGATTCGCGTGTGGAACACCAGTAATGTGGTTATATTGAAGCTGGACTTTTGGCTTGGCGTGACGGCGCGGTCTGGTGAATGCGAGTTGCTACTAGACACCGATATAGGCAGAGATAACACGTGTCCAACGATCCATATCTGGCGGTCGCATAACATTCAGGTCGCGAAAGGGAGCTTCTGGGGTCGGATCGACGTGTTCCGTGCGATGTCTACGCGTATAGACAGTATGAAGGGTACCGGGTTAACACTTTTCGCCAAGTCGCCAGGAGTCATTCGCGTAGCGTTTTCAGGTTACGGCCCTGCGCTGCTGAAAGCCTGGGTGTCGCTGACGAATAACGAGTTGTACGGTGTAGACCAGCCGATTGTGCTTCAAAACGGCGCGGTGGGGGTTATAGCGAGGAACAACTACATCCACGACTTTTTATTCGCGGGGATTCGATGCGGAGCTGACGTGTACAACCAGGGGGATTGCATGCTTACGACGCTCAGCAACAACCTGATCGTCGCGTCCGGGCGGAACATGTCGGGCGACCACGACGCGGCAGGGATTTACTACTGCACGCACTTTTTCAACCCGGGTGAGTAGATGGGCAGGTTGGCATACGTGAGGTGTGGTGCGCAGCATGGCAGTTGCACAACCGCCAGTGGCAGCGTTGCCGGGTCATGGTTGAGCGAGACGGGCCAATGACCTCTGTTCTTGCTCCTCGGTGTTGTCCTCTTACGTTCGTCTCGCTCCTGGCTTCTCGTCACAGGGAACATCGCGGAGTGCAATTACATCTTCAACGGCGACCACTGCTATTATCTGGACTACGCCACGTCGGGAGTGATTATACGCGGTGGTGCGTGCATCAACACGTACGACGGCGTGAAAGTCAACAACGGCCACTGGTAAGCGACGGTCCATTTGCCGTGGTTCTGTATCCCCGCAAGTTATGCCTTTTCTGATCATGCCCACTGTCCGAAGCTCCATGTATCACGCCTAAGTCAGACCATGCTCTCGGGGCTTAGGACATGTTTCAACGTCTGTGTGCGTCCCAGGAATGTAATTGAAGATGTGATATTAAAGGGCACGGTGGGCATTCCGGGATGGTGCCAATGCTTAACGCCCACTCTTAACAACTGCGCCAAGAAGCCTGGCACCTACTGGGAGGAGATGCGCATTAAGTACTACAACTCGCCTGTTATCAACCAGGTGCGTGCACAGCCCTGCTCTGACGTGCCTCGTTTTGTTGTATTGTTCATGTTTGCTATTTGTCTGGACACTGTCAATCCACGTTTCATTCCATGTCTTTGCTGTTTCAGTCACTGTATGTCTGTGTTCCTTGCCCTCTTTATCTCTTAACAGCAACAAAGGTTATCATATATGTATTTATTCCCACTTGCCCTCGTTCCTCTCTCCCCTTCCACCCCTCGCGCTTCGTCTCGCCATCCAATTCAATTTCATGGGCAATCAGAAATGGCCGTGGTTCAAATCAATCTGTGAGGCGAGGACTGTGAAAGGAAAGAGGTGCAACACAAACGAAAGGGGAACACTGACCGGCGCTCAAACTGGGCACTGCAGCGGCCTTCCCACCCACAATACTGTTAATCTAGTCGCTGTTAACACAACTGATTACGAGATGGGCTACAGATATTGTGAGAAGCTCCCAACAGTACCGAATGGAAAGTTTAACGACCACAGCATTGTAAGAGTCCAACGGCCAAGACGCGCAGCCTTTATTGACTACCGAAAGAATGATTTGGGCATTGCCTCGAAGGACTCCATAATATACCAGAAGTATCCCAACTTCAAGAGCTGCCCACGGTCTGAAGTGGGGCCTAAGCGCGTGCCTGACTCGTTCTACTTCAATGCATACAATCGGCCCATGCCATGGGGTTTCATGGCGGTTATTAGAATGGGAAAGCTGCACATCCATGACCTTCCCGGTTGGCCTTGATTCCTTGCTCTGTTTGTTTTAGGGTTTTTCAGAGTATAATGTGTAGTTGAATACTCTAGCTTGTCTGCCAACCACATATCATAAAAACGCTGGAATTTTTACACTGCACATCCATTCTCATAAATTTTTGTCTCTAGCTACGTTTTGTACCCAGGACACACTAGCGTGGAACTGATAAAAGAAGGAATATGTGGGTGGATTGAAAGCCCGATTGGCAGAGTTTGCGATTCCAGCTTGCAACAAGCATCCTCCCACCTGGGAGTAATATCCGCGCGAGTGTTCAGAATATCACCTGCGCTCCGAATGCAGGCACAGGCAATATCGAACTTTCGGCATCTCGCCTGGATTTGCCTGTTCTGTCACTATGCGAACCACTCTCAAGAATCAGTTTGTCGCGCGGCTCCCTCCACCCTCCTCTCGTGCTGGAAATCCTCTTTCAGACAGTTCTGAATGTTCGGCCATTGTCTTCGATACTCAGATTTCGCCTGAGCGCGCTCTCAGGTGTAATCAACCTGGACTTTTTCAACGTTGATTGGTCATCGATTTATAGTCACATTTCTCACGCTGGTCGAACTCATTAGGAAGTGACAAAAACAGAACCATCCAGATTACCCTCCCGACATGGATATAGTACGGAAATTTAGGTAGTAAGAGAATGAAGCCCATATAATTCACTTGGTAGTGCTCTGTAGCGCAACCGACCGCTAAACTACGCTACCGAAAGCACTAGACGACGCTACCGAGAACTATTTGGGCATGGCAGAAAACAATAAAACCCCTAGGGAACCTGGATGCATTTTCGAGAGGGGTCAGCCCTAAATACGGGAATGGGCATTGTTTTTAGGGCTGATGCCTCCCGAGTCGCATCCCTTTCCGATTAGGTTTTTTTTTTGTCAAGTGGGCTGCAATATGTTTTCCAAAATATTGGGCGGCTTTCGGTATTTAGGGTTGATCCTTCCCAGAAATCATATAGGTTCGCTACGTATTTTATTTTTTTTTGCAAGCGCTGGAATCATTTCTATTGAGTGACTGTATACAAACATGCAAGGCTTCCCACTTCATCGAGAAACAGTGATGCTGTTGGTGATTACACCTGAAAACGCGCTCAGGCGAAATCTGAGTATCGGAGATAATGGCCGCTGAATGTTCGATGATCGTGTATTCTTTTCGCCAACGGCAGTACTGCCAGCTGACCGAGACACCTCCTCCAGGAGGGGAGGAACTAGCGACCCCGTGCGACTCGTGCGATTGTAGAAGAGAACACGAGAGAAGGTTTTGTGCCTCTCTCGATGGTCAGTTAGGAAACACATTAATGAATCACGTCACGACTCCATACCAAACCAAGCCACCAGGCACAACAGGCTTCTGTCAACCGTAGCGACGATGTTACCATCTCGTCGTTGCCTGACTCGACAGTCGTATGCTTCCACACGAATTACTTCCACTTCCGCTTTACGAACTATCCATGTTTGTTACTGAGGATTGAAGATAGTCCTCATGCTGTCACGCTTCCACGCAAAGAATCAAAATTCTTCCGCGATTCACCTCGGGCGCTCCTCATCCACCTCAGTAGTCGACGCTTGATGCCCATTCGAGTGCAGCAAGCCCTCCATCCGCCACGGACGGACTCTGGCTATCGAGTCGAGCTGACACGATTCCCGGCGATGGCGAGTCGAGGATGGCTCAACTCAGCCATGGTTGCTACTACCAGGATGAGTATTCTTATGCTCGTCGCCCTTCTCCACATCTACGCCGCGTCGTCGGTATCACCAGCGTTGTCTCTTAGTCAGGAATCACCTTTGTCCTCCCCGCCTCGGACGAATCTCTTCTGGCGCTTCCTGCGAAGCTGGCATGCAGCGCATCATCCGCCGCGATCGGCGGCTGGCGCGGCTAAACGGACGTCGCTATGGCTTCAGTACCGGCGCTACCTTCGTGGGAATTCCGCGGACGCGAACGTTGACTTGGCGTCATTCACGCAATACCACGGGGACGGCGGGCCGTATTCGCTAACTCCTGGCATCGATCCTACCGACCACTCGCTTGATGACGTGGCAACGCCTCTCGGACGGCGTCGGCGACTGCGTACGTGGCATGGAGACCGTCCCGCTTCCACTAGCTTTCTCTTCCGTTCCCGTTTTGTTTATGACGTTTTTTTTGTTTTTTTTCCTTGTCCGATACCCGGCCCATTAATTTTTCTCTACCTCCTCCTCCTCCAACTCTGTCCCTTATCGCTTCACTTCGGCCACTTCCGTTTCACTCACCCTGTCATGATGACAGAAAAGATGACGCAAAAGGGACCTTGCACCCCCCTCTCGGAAGCCAAGGTCATCCTCGTTTCAAGCCCATCCGACATCGACAAGCGGCTACAGTACCCCAATTCCGTTACCGTCATTCTCGAAGTTACCCGCGACCTCATCCTTCCCAAGGGCCTCGTTTTCTCTGGCGCCTTCCGCTGCACAATTTTCCGGTCAGCGCAGGGAAAGAGAAACTTCAAAGTGTCTTTAATGGGAGACAAGGAGCCGGTGATTCGCGTGTGGAATACCAGCAACGTGGTTATTCTGAAGCTGGATTTCTGGCTGGGCGTGACGGCGCGGTCGGGTGAATGCGAGTTGCTACTAGACACCGATATAGGCAGAGGCAACACGTGCCCTACGATCCATATCTGGCGGTCGCATAACATTCAAGTCGCGAAAGGGAGCTTCTGGGGTCGGATTGACGTGTTTCGTGCCATGGCTACGCGTATAGACAGTATGAAGGGTACCGGGTTAACGCTTTTCGCCAAGTCGCCAGGAGTCATTCGCGTAGCGTTTTCAGGTTACGGCCCTGCGCTGCTAAAAGCCTGGGTTTCGCTGACGAATAACGAGTTGTACGGTGTAGACCAGCCGATTGTGCTTCAAAACGGCGCGGTGGGGGTTATAGCGAGGAACAACTACATCCACGACTTTTTATTCGCGGGGATTCGATGCGGAGCTGACGTGTACAACCAGGGGGATTGCATGCTGACGACGATCAGCAACAACCTGATCGTCGCATCCGGGCGGAACATGTCGGGCGACCACGACGCGGCAGGGATTTACTACTGCACGCACTTTTTCAACCCTGGTGAGAAAGATAGGCTTCCGTGTGGTGTGGCTGGAATTTGGGTTGGCTTACGCTAGCACGGGGTAGCATAGCTTCCCGAAGCAGCTGGGCCCAGCCATGGATGGATGTGACAACTTTTTCTGTCGCTCCTCGATGTTCTCCTCTCACGCTGATCCCGCTCCTGGCATCTCGTCACAGGGAACATCGCGGAGTGCAATTACATCTTCAACGGCGACCACTGCTATTATCTGGACTACGCCACATCGGGGGTAATTATCCGCGGTGGCGCGTGCATCAACACATACGACGGCATGAAAGTTAACAACGGCCACTGGTAAGCGCCCGCGCACTACGCAAATAACTCCAATTCCGAGGACCATGCGTCCGCTTATCGTGCGACTGCCAGAAGCGCCGTAAAACATGCTCTAAGATTTCGGGGCTCACAACGTCTTTCCCGGTTCTGTGTGTTTTCCCGGCACAGGAATGTGATTGAGGATGTGATTCTGAAGGGCACGATTGGGATGCCGGGGTGGTGCCAGTGCTACACGCCCACTATCAACAACTGCGCCAGGAAGCCGGGGACCTACTGGGAGGAGATGCGGATCAACTACTACAACTCACCCGTCATCAACCAGGTGAGTGCGCAGCTGTGCTCCTACGTGGCTCGTTCTGTCGTTTCATTCATGCTAGCCTGCGTCCTTTGTGGGCTGTCAGTCTCTGTTCTGCCCTTTTCTTGCTGTTGCAGTGGCTGTATGTCTGCTTTTCTTTACCTGTTCATCCTGTATGGTGACGGGCAGTTGAATCAACCATGTCAGCTCAATCTCTTTCCAATCGCCCTTTTTTTCTCTCCCCTTCCAATCCTCACTCTTTCTAATTGTTGACGAGCAGAAGTGGCCATGGTTTAAGTCAATCTGTCAAGCAAGGACTGTGAATGGAATGAAGTGCAACACCGATGAAAGGGGTACACTTACCGGCGCTCAAACTGGGCATTGCAGCGGCCTTCCCACCCACAACACCGTCAATCTAGTTGCTGTGAATACCACCGACTATGAAATGGGTTACAGATACTGTGAGAGGCTCCCTACAGTGCTGACTGGGAAGTTCAACATCCACAGCATCGTGAGAATCCAACGGCCAAGACGAGCAGCCTTCAACGACTATAAGAAGAATGACTTGGGCATCGCCTCAAAGGACTCCATAATATACAAGAAATACCCCAAGTTCAAGAGCTGCCCACGGTCTGAAGTGGGGCCGAAACGTGTCCCTGACTCGTTCTACTACAATTCATACAATAGGCCCATGCCATGGGGCTTCATGGCGACCATTAGAATGGGAAAGCTGCACATCCATGACCTTCCTGGGTGGCCTTGATTGGGTATTCCGCATTGTATTATATGGATTGCTTGTGTTTGACAAGTTTGGCAACAATGTAAGGGCTTCCTGCACGCAACTGTGTTGCTATAAGCCGATTGAAATCGTGAAAATGTTCTGCTGCGCGGAGACTCCTCTCCCGAAACACAGAAATTCAGGTCGAAGCCCAAGTAGGTTATCTGCGATTTGAGCCGTTTCCCCTGAGTCCGTGTAATTCTGGCGGAGGACGCTCAAGTCGGAAACGAAGTTCCGAAATCACCTGCGATGCGTTCCTCGGCACAATCAGAAGAGGTTTTGCCTGCTGCGGGGATTGAGCCGCGATAGGTGGGTGTACTTCTCACCTGCCATCGATTCATCGAGAGATTTACTGTAAAACCTGGGTTGGTGATTCATTTTTAAATGCGTCGCATCGAGTTACTCGAGTTGCCGCCAGATTTGGTGATAATTACTCGAGTAGTCACGCCAGGGGATTCCCGCTGCTTTTTTTACTTGGCGCATTACCCTACAAGGGTTCGTATCCCCGAAACCTCTGAATTGATATTTGCGCGATTCTCAATTTACACGATGATTTATAATGGATGTTTTCGAGTCTATGGTTTATATTCGAAAATTATGTTCGTGATTCTATATGACCGCGCCTGATTGGACGCGCATATAGTCGACCAATCATGCGCGGTCATTAATGGTCGGGCACATCATATATTAATGCCCGATCATATATTTCCGCGATCATATATCAATGCGCGGGACATTTAATGACCGCGCATGATTGGTCGATTATGTGCGCGGTGCTTTGTTTTGCAATGCGCGTCCAATCAGGCACGGTCATATGGGGTCACGATCATAAATTTCGGATATTGAAGATCGCGCATTAATCAGTACAGAGGTTTCGGGGATACAAATCCTTGTAGGGTAATGCGCAGGGTAAAACAAAACCAGCATGAATCCCCTGGCGTGGCCACTTGAGTAATTATGATCAAATCTGGTGGCCACTTCAGTAATTTGAAATCACGCGAGTAAGAATGAATCACTGATCCAGGCTCGACAGTAGTTCTCTCCGATTCTCGCCAAGATTCGCCAGTTCGGTCGCACGCAGCTGAACTGATGCAATCGCGATTTTCGCTCAGCTGATCAAAATTTGTCGTGCGTCTCCCTCCACTTTCCTCCCGTTTGCGTTCTCACCTCCAAACTCGCCTCCCCTCCTAACTGCAGAATGTTCGACCTACTTCGCGGATTTTCCCTCAGTATTAAAATATTTGCGCTTCCTCTCCTATCTGCATTTTTCCGTGAGTATAACGCAAGGGGAATATTCTCGACAAGGTGTCTAGACTTGACCAGCATATCTTTCCGACAGTATTAAAATATCATCTCAGCTTTATGTTTCAGGCAAGCGGAGTTGCACAGTATCTACGTTACTAAGTCTCTCATCAGGACCGCACACGTAGCTGGTCGTTCCATTCGATAGTCAACGTCGACGTGCAACACCCCATCTTGCGGAACAATAGCTTCGCTATTCGCCCCTTCACTCTCGTTGTTGCCGCGGAAACACCTCCTTGCGCCCCTTTAGTACGCCATTCTGACATGGTAGCTTTGTAATTCCGTAGCGCCTCACGCCGCCACTGGGAGCAGCTGAATCAGCTCTTTCCGGAGAAGCGTTATACAGAGTGGCGAACAGGTTTTAGGCAACCCATCCCAGATAACGGAGAAGTGTTATACGGAGCGGCAAACAGGTTACGGAGTGGTTACGATGGGGCAAAAGCACCGCTTCCTTTTCGCAGCGCTCCTTCTCCTCGTCCTCGCTACCATCCCATGTTCAGCTTCAGGAGCCGGTGCGGTGCGGTGCTGGTGCAATGTTTCGGCCCCTCTCTTGTCTCAGCTCCTCTTGCTCTACCGTTTCCCTAGCCTCCGCAACTCGCCGTGCGTCGTCCCGTCCGCGTTTCCGCTACCCGTACCTCCCCCTCTATGTTCTCCAATCTCCGCCTTTCTTCCCTGCGTCCCGCCTGCCAAACTTCGCTTCGCCCTTTCTCCCATCTCCCCTTATCCTGGTCTCAGAATGCCCCCGTTTCCACTCTCCATCCCCTCTCCGCGTTTGCCGTTTTCTCTTCTCCCCCTCCCCCTCTCCCCCTTTCTCCCTCGCTCTCTTTCCCATCCTCCCCCTCCCCCCTTCTCCCCCTCTCCCCCCTTCTCCCCCCCTCCCCCTCCCCCCTTCTCCCCCTCTCCACCCTTCTCCCCCCTTCTCCCCCTCCCCCCTTCTCCCCCTCTCCCCCCTTCTTCCCCCCTCCCCCTCCCCCCTTCTCCCTCTCTCCCCCCTTCTCCCCCACTCCCTCTCTCCTCAGAAAGCCTCCAGCAACCCAACTTCCTGAAGCGTTTCGTGACGACGTGGCGGCAATGGCACCGCACGGTAACTTCTCGCTCGTCCACGTCAACATTGCTGCAGCACCGGCGCTACCTCAGCGCCGATCCGGCGGAGGCTGCTGACGTGGCGCGCGTGCTGCGCCGACGTGGCGGGTGGTGGCATGACGCGGACGGCCAGGCGTACGTTTCAACTTCTGGAGACGAGGCGATACAGGAGGTGACCGATGACGTGGCAGAAGGCATCGTTTCGCGGAGAAGGAGAAAGCGTGAGTGCCACTCTTCCTGCTTTCATTCGCTCCTTCGTTGCTCCCCCGCTCATTCCTTCCCTTTCCCCCTTCCCTGTCGCTCCTTCCTCTTCCCGTTTTCTTCCCTCCCCTTTCCGCGCGTCCGTTCCTCTTCTTGTTTCGGCACCCTACCTCCTCGTTCCGTTCAGATACCGAATTCTCCCCTCACATTCCTTCCTTCCTTCTCTCCCTGCTTCTCTCCCCTCCCCTCGCCTCCCCCTCCCTCTCTCGTCTCCTCGCCCACCTCTTCCCTCACTGCAGTGGCAGTAGGGGATGCGGCGGGCCCTTGCACTCCGCTCGCTGACGCCATACTCATTACAGTCACAACCGAAGAAGACATTGCTAAGCGGACACAGTACCCCAACAATCAGACCGTTATCTTAGAATTGGCCAACGACATTACGCTTTCCAAGGGACTTGTTTTCGGCGCTGCGTATCGGTGCACCATCTTCCGGTCGGGCGCAGCTAAAGCAAACTACAAAATTGCTTATATGGGGGACACGCAGCCACTGCTGCTTATAGCGAACACCAGCAACGTGGTCATCCTACGCATTAATTTCTGGATGGGTGTAACAATGCGGTCTCCGGAGTGTACTGATTTCCTGTACACGGATCTTGGGTCGGGCAACACGTGCCCTACAATTATGCTGTGGCGCGTGCACAACACGCAGGTCGTCAAGGGCTCTTTCTACGGGCGTATTGATGTCCTCCGAGCCATGTCATCGCGTGTTGACAGCATGAAGGGTACCGGGTTACCACTGTTCGTCAAGTCCCCTGGCGTCATCCGAGTGTCCTTTTCGGGGTACGGGCCTGCTCTCCTCAAGTCATGGGTCGCGATTACAAACAATGAAGTGTATGGTAAGGGTATTTACCACTCGCAGGGTTACATGGGCCAAAGGGTATATCCTACCTTACATAGTGAGTGGCTAATCACTCACCTCATTACTTTTGGGTTATGTCAGTCTTCTGGAATCAGTCACCCAACGTTCTCTCCCATTCCGTTCTCGCCTCACAGCACATGTCCTCTTCTCCCCCCCCACTTCCTCCTCCACCCAGGCGTGGATCAGCCAATCATTCTTCTGAATGGCGCAGTCGGGGTGATGGTCAGAAGAAACTACATCCACGACTTCTTATTCGCTGGAATTCGGTGCGGAGCAGATGTGCACAACCAGGGGGATTGCATGCTGACGACGATCAGCAACAATCTAATCGTCGCGTCTGGACGGAACATGTCGGGTGATCAAGACGCCGCGGGGATTTACTACTGTACACATTTCTTCAATCCGGGGAATGTTGCAGAGTGCAACTACATTTTCAACGGAGACCATTGCTATTATCTGGATTACGTTTCGTCGGGAATCAAGATACGCGGAGGAGCGTGTGTGAACACGTTTGATGGGATGAAGGTCAACAACGGGAAATGGTGAGTGGCGGACATTTGTGCTTTCTCTCCTTGGTTGATGCTCATGTTGATGCTTTCTCTCCTTGGTCGATGCTCATGTTGATGCTTTCTCTCCTTGGTCGATGCTCATGTTGATGCTTTCTCTCCTTGGTCGATGCTCATATTGATGCTTTCACTCCTTGGTCGATGCTCATGTTGATGCTTTCTCTCCTTGGTCGATGCTCATGTTGATGCTTTCTCTCCTTGGTCGATGCTCGTGTTGATGCTTTCTCTCCTTGGTTGATGCTCATGTTGATGCTTTCTCTCCTTGGTCGATGCTCATGTTGATGCTTTCTCTCCTCCTGTGGTGTGTATTCCCAACTAACGCCAACGCATTTCAGAAACTCGTGTGCTTGAATGTGTTTTATGATTGGAACTGTAATCGTGCTTGCAGGAACGTTATAACAGACGTGATTATGAAGGGGACGCAGAATACGCCTGGTTGGGTGGCGTGCTTCACGCCCACAAGCAACAACTGCCTCACACACTCTGGGATGTACTGGGAGCAAATGCGGCTAAAATACTACAATTCACCCGCGATATTGAAGGTGTGTCTCACCGTTACTCCATCCCCTGAGCCCTTCGTTGATAAACCCCCTGAGCCCTTCCCTTTGTCACTCCATCCCCCCTGTTTCGTCGTTCTCTCCCCCACCTTTTAGCAGCTACTTATCTTCCTCAATCCTCTCCCCTCATTCTCGACCCCTCCCCTCCTTCCCGGTTACCTCACTCTCCCGATTCCCATGTGACCCGCATCGCAGGAGTACCCATGGTTTCCTACCGTATGCAAGGAGAGGGCAATCAACGGGTATCTATGCAACATAGGCAGACAAGGGACCTTGTCAGGACGAAAGACCGGCTACTGTAGTGGTCTGCCCACAAACAATACCATTCAGCTGATCACAGTGCAGACCTCAGACCACGACCTTGACTTCAGATACTGCGAGAGGCTGCCTACAGTGGAGAGCGGGAGACTCAACACTTACTTAAAAGTCAACATCTCCAGGCCTTCGAGGGCTAAGTTTGCCCACTACTGGCGAAACGACTTCGAGATTACTTCCAAGGAGTCGGTCATCTACAAGAAGTTCCCAAAATTCAAGAGCTGCCCAAGAAGCAAGGTCGGGCCGAAGAGAGTTCCGGATACGTTCTACTATAGCTGGTACAACCGGCCAATGCCGTTTGGATTCATGAGTGTCATTCGGATGGGGAAGCTCCACATTCACGACTCGCCTGGCTGGCCCTAGCGCATGCTTCACCACCTGTACACTGTAGCTTTTGCCTTCATATGTGTCCTCCACCCAACATGGGTTGTGTATATTACACTTGGCTGGCGTCCTCACCATTCAAGCAACCAGATTGAGAATCAGCATGAGGAAAGCATTGTAGGCAGGATTACCACCCACATCTTCACCAGTGTGAGACCATGTCGAGTCCTCATCAGCCTGTGGCATACCGTATGTTTGGTTGTGTTGAAGGCTTTTCTCTGCCCGACAGGGTGGGGGGCATGGGGAGATGAGATGACCCCACGGATGCTAGAGCTTGCACCAGACGTGTGATGATGCTGTTACGTGTGCATGGAGGATGTAGTAAAATAATATTTGTAACGCGTTAGAAAGAACAGGCTAGTATCTAAGACACTTCTTATAAACAAGTGCACAGATGAGAGCCATAGCTACAGCTTAAGTCAGAGACTAAGGGAGAGGTCAAGGTCCCTCTTCACATTCTTCACGCCTTTCACATCGCCACTGTCGCTGACCTTCCTCTGTTTCGCCACGCGAGCCGCAATAACGAGCTCCGACGTATCGCTAACGCTCGTGCCGTTGGTATGCGCCAAGAGCTGCTTCGTTTTCACGTTTAGAGGGCCGTCCCAGTGCTTCCGCATGTGCCCGCCGAGCGCCTGCCCCGTGGAAAACTGCTTCCCGCATTTAGGGCAAGTCTTGATCGGTTGTTGCCCGCCGCGCTTCCGCTTTTGCGGCTTTTCCTCCTCCGCGGATCCGGCGGTGCACGCGCTCTTCTGCTCCACCTCGTGTTGCGCGTCGGGGGAGGCGTTTAGGTCTAAATCCACGAAGTTGCGCTTGGGCGACGCGGTCGCCGGAGCGGCATAGTTTGGCGAGCGTTGCGCGTCGACGCCGGAAACGGCGTTGTTGTCTGTGCTATCTTCCGCAGCGCACGACGCGGAGGCGACGCGGAGCGTGAGCAGAGCGTTGGCGCCAGAAGCTACGTCGATATCGCTGTTCGCGCGTTTCCGAGAGCCCGCAGCAGAAGACAGCATTTCGCGACGCGCCGGGATGGTCTTGCTGTGAGAGCTGGTGGCGTGGCTGACGCTTGAGAGACGTGGGCTGCACGCGTTGTTATCGCGCGACGGAGAATCAATAGCGGAAACCGCGGACGACTGCTGCTGATTAATCTGAGAGAGGGCGTGGAACAACGGGAGGTACGCCGCGAGCGACGCGTCCGCCGCGACGTCGATAGGGGGGCGAACAATGCGCACCGCGGCGCGGCTCTTTCGGGCGAAAGATTCACTATTCGCGTATTGGTCGAGCCTGTTGAAACCGGTGGTACTAGACAAGCCCGCGAAATTCATTGCGTACTTGAAAGGCGATTGAAGGATACTCGGAGCTGATTGATGCTCGGGAGGGTTGACTTGACCTAAGTTAACGCGAAGCTAAGGAGGGAGCTGTTTGTGAGGGAGTAAACCGATGCAGAGCGAGGAAAGTGTTGAGGAATGACGTCCTGATTCCACGCCTCAGTCTTTATACCTCAGTTGGATGGGCAGCACAGTTGAAGCAAGGGAGTGGTGTGCTTTCTGCTCGAGTACACTTCATTCCAAGCGTAACATAGGTGACGGCTACTTGCCTGGGGTTCGGCGCTGGCAAAATCTCACAAGTACGCGCCGACATCCCCCACTCGACCCCGATTTTGCCGCTGTTCCTGCGCACTGCGCTGAAACCCGCGTTTGGGTTTGGTGAAGTGCTGGATCCACCCACATCGTGCGTGAGGTTGTGAGGTGTGCGATCTGATCCGCGTGACATGACAGCCAACCACATCACACCTCGCGGACAATCATGTTGAGCACAGCGGCGTCAGAGTGGGGGTGGTGGGGTGGAGCGGAGCTGCGGGGGGATTGGGGATGGGGCAGAAGCGGATTGGATGGAAGGCTGACGAGTGAGATGAGATGACCTCTGTGATGAGTCCCATCCACTCCCATTCCTTTGGCCTTTCAGCAGCACTATTCACTGCTGGCCTTTGGCGAACCAAAGGGACACCCGTCACACAACCCATCTCAGCCCATTAGCCTGCCTACACCTATTTCCGCGGTATTTTAACCGCTGCTAACCTAACGGCGCGAAGGTACTTCTCCTTGGTCAATCTTTTTTATACGAGTAGTTTTGATTTTTTTTTGGGTATAATCTATCATACCCTTTGTGAGACGACGGCAGTCAACCCAGTCAATGCCGATCTGCCCTCTATTTCGGAGCACTAGTGTGATTTTCTTTGAAATGCTTCTGGCTGCAAAACGATAGCCTTGAAGTCTCTTGGTGCCCATCTCATTACCCGAAAGCGAACAAAGGGTGTTTGACACCAAACAGTTCACGTGATAAATATACCGCGGACTAGGTGTAGTCTACAAGTCTAGGAAGACTTGTCCCCCCCAAACCACCACTGAAAGGAAGTCACAGTGATGCAGCTGTCAGGGTCCAGCCCAGCCTAGAGTCTGGGCAGGGAGTTCCCGTTGTCCAACGTTCCGTACGGAGGAGGAACTGTAGAATTGGCAAACCTGGAGGTAACATATTAGATAAGTAAATTCTTCTGTAAATCAAACAAAATTGAGTTTAGGACGTGTTTCGGTTCGGTTCTGGTCGGCTGTGATCTGGTCAGGGCTAATCTGATCGGGTTGCCTTTGTTTGAACAGCTCGGGCCGCCCGATCAGTAAGCAATTACTTCGAATTTTCCAAAAGGTTATATGGCAAGCGTCCAGACTCTTCCTGCCGCTGTCAGGCCACCTTTGGCGACTGCGAACGCCTCGGCATGGAAATAGCGAGTTTAGCGTTTCCCTGTAATTTCGCGAAAGCTGGTGCCCAGAAACCCTGCAGTTCCAGATTCACGACGGGGGTGTATTCACGAATCAATGCCGATACATGTAACAGTTCGCCAGCGTCGCTTAGTACCCCAATCAAATGCAATCAAGTGATCGTTGGTGATTGTACAGGATTTTGTTTGATTGGGCTGTTTTAGGCGGTAGATCGTGTTGGGGCGATCAGCTGATCGCGATCAAGTGATTGCCCCCGATTGCCTGAAATCGCCTTCAGAACTTCCTGGAAGTTCAGGACCGGGTCTGATCGAGGCAATCAAGTCCTCAGCATTGTTGAAACTCGCATGGGTTTTGCTTTTGCTTATGTTTACAAGATATAGAACTGGGCCGGTGCGAAATTATTGATCAAGTGGTAGAACTAAAAGAGTGCTTTTTTTGGGGGCGCGGTTAGAACTAGATTTTCACGAATCAAATTACACGTGAGGATCACCATCGACCATAATTCTAGGAGATGGGTGGGGGTGATTGATCGTCAATCCGTGTGGTGATGAACACGTGAGAAATTCCGCACGTAACTTCGAGCAAACGTGAGTCGCGTGCTGACGGGAGCACTGTGACACCGCCATCAGATTCCAGTGGGCACACAACTGTGGCACATCATTCCGACATCGCGTTCACAAACATCTTCCGAATTCGGTGAGAAATAATGAATGAGTGTTTCTGTAACTTCAAACCAAACAAACACATTGCAACCAGCTCCAACGCGCCCCATGTCTCGCAAACTTCCTACAGCTTTAGAGTGAATACTTCATCCGACACCACTAAAACCCTGGACCCGGTCCCTTCAACATGCACCTTTACAGAACTGGGATCTTTAAACAACGCCGCTCTGAAGGATTTTTATCATAGCATTGAGAGATACGATCCAGTGCCGTCACCACAATGCGGTGGTCGATCAGCAGGCCAGCCGCAATGGAGGTTGGGTTGGGACGAACGCGTCAGCTTGCAGACGACTGACAGCATGACCAGCATAAAGTAGTGACGAACTGGGCAGGCAAGTGGGCGGGTTTTTGCTCAACGTGCAGTGAGAACAGCAGATCCCGATTCCTCATGGATAAATGCGGAAATTTCGCCCGTGAGTGGAGGAAGTACCGAACCAAGCAACGTCAGCACGATGCCCTGGAACCGCGATGGGTTTTCCCCGACAAAACCAGGCTCTTTACTGTTCTAAGACGTGCAAGGTACGGTACAACGTAACTTGAACATAAACAAGAGAACCCTTCACACTTACATATGTTACTTTAACACACCAAGGAAACTCATATATGAAATTACAATGTATTTTCAAATGCTTAGTATCATGGTGGTCATACAAAACTTGGAAAATATAGGCGCTTAATTTCATCTAGGCCCACGGCTATCTATGCTTGATTCATGCTCCATTTTTTTTTCCAATCGCACACGTATTTCTAATTCCGTTACGGGTGCAATAAATAAAAGTAGCGAGAATTGCACTAAGGTGTCAAACGGGTACAAAATGTGAAGGAATGCATGAGCGAACATTTATACGCGAAACATGCAAACGGTAACGCTGAGCGTGCGGGCTAGCTAGTGTCATGCTGGAAGCGAGGTTCGGGCTAGTCCCGAAGCGTGGGCCGATACGGCCAGGCCAGCAGTGCGAGGTTTGGTGAAACAGTGCGCGCGAAGTCGACGAAGCCCCGTTAACAGTAACGGGCGAACAACGGCTGCTGCCGTACGCGATGTTGCAGGGCGCGCTAAGGAATATCGAGAAAATTCTTTGCACTACCCACTCCCCTCAAGAAGCCCCCTCCGCTAAGCGAGTACGTGTATATCGTGGAAACCCCGGCTCTGTTGAGAGAACGAGCAAAACGAGGAGCACTAGCTAGGTAGGCCCTAGCTAGGCAGGAGAAGTTTAGGCAAAGAGGAAGGGGCTCACTAGCAGCAATGAGGATACATATAGAAACCCTAGATGGATTGTACTCGCTATAGAGCACCCCACTACAGGCTAGAGAATAACATTCTGACACACCCTCATAGCCAAAATGGGGTCTAATAAGTACAATGAGCAAGCAGGTATAGAGCAGGAGTTAACAAAGGTAAGTAAAGCTAGAGCTAATCACAGAGGACAAGTGAGAAAGAGGAGAGACCGTGGAGGGAGAGAAGATTGGAGGCAACGTCTGAAGCTGCAGAGGCACGGGCACAGGAGCGGCTGACTCAGTGGCTACCGAAGCAAGGGCGACGGACTACTGGAGTGACTGGCTCCGCGGCTATAGACGACCGGCAGGAGCAACGAACCCACTAGCGACTGGTGCAACAGGCTCACTGGCTACCGAAGCAAGGGCGACGGACTACAGGCGCTGCAAGAGACACGACAGCTACCTTCACACAACCTCCTCCAACTGCCTCACTCCCCTCTCACACACCCCCTGTTCAAACCCTAGCTCCACTCCCACAGCACCCCCCTTAAACCCGAAACCCCTGACTCCCACACATCCACCCCCCTCAGCGACAGCTGCAGCAGTGGGAGACGAAGGAGGAGGAGAAGGGGACGGCGCGCACAACCGACACCCCCACAACCATCACCCCCACACTCCTCACCCCCAAAACCCTAAAACGGGTGGAATAGGGGCAGGAGCGCGTAGGATGGTAAGGGGGGGACAGCGCGCGACCCCCAGGGCGCCAGAACGGACGGGCTGGGCGGGTGGAGGGGGGGTGGCGCGCGCTGCTCCTCAGGGCGCCGCGATGTACGGGCAGAGGGGACGCGCGCGCGGCTCCTCAGGGCGCCGCGACGGCCTGACGGGGCGCGCGGGGGCTCCCGAGGGCGCCGCGACGAACTGGCGGGGCGCGCGCGGCCTCCCCAGGACGTCGCGACGAACGGGCGGGGCGCTCGCGGGCTCCCCAGTGCATCGCGACGGACGGGCGGGGCGCTCGCGGGCTACCCAGGGCGTCGCGACGGACGGGCAGGGCGCTCGCGGGCTCCCCACGGCGTCGCGACGTGCAGGGTGGGGGCCGCGCGTGCTCCCCAGGGCGCCGCTACGGACGGGCGGGGCGCACGCCACGTCCCCCACGGCAGGAAACCGCCGCGCGCCTCGGGGTGCACGGCGGGCAGAAAACCGCGGTGCGCCCCGAGCGCGCGGCGGGATGAAATATTGGAGGTCGCGCGCCACGGGGCGCGCGACACAGAGTAGGGCAGCGGAAGCAGGTGGGCCCACGGGCCAGGACCGTATCGCTTTGATAGCATGTTGAGAGAACGAGCAAAACGAGGAGCACTAGCTAGGTAAGCCCTAGCTAGGTAGGAGAAGTTTAGGCAAAGAGGGAGGGGTTCACTAGCAGCAATGAGGATACAAATAGCAAACCCTAGATGGGTTGTACTCGCTATAGAGGACCCCACTACAGGCTAGAGAATAACATTCTGACTGGCTCCTCATGTATATTTGCAGGGCAGGATGATTTCTGATGTTGGCCAGGGGCACCCAGCTATCTTCAGTTGGCGTGCGTTCCTTCCAGCGAACGAGGAATTCAATCCTCCTGATTCACGTGGGGTGTCGAATCCGATGGCTCAAGATTTTTTCGAGCTCGATGATCGGCTCCGATGCAGGGCGAGTCATGGATGGCCGGCGGTGACGAGGCAGTTGGCTTGTGGTTTGGATGTATGGGCGAAGTAGGCTGACGTGGAACGAAGGGATGACGTACCAGTCCGTCGGCAACAGTAGGTGAGCTATCACTGGGGTAATCATGTGGCTGATTTGGAATGGTCCAAAGTAGCGGGGTCGTAATTTCGGTACGACGGGCAGTCTTAAGTTTTGCGAGTCGAGCAGTACGTAATCTCCTGACTGGTACGTGACTGGGCAGCGGTGGCGGTCAGCGTCGCATTTAGCGATGACGTTGGCCTTTTTAATTGCTTCTGCGGCTCTGGTGCGGGCAGTTTGCAGAATTTCGGCGAATTGCTGTGCACGTGGCGTTGGGTTGTCCAGACTCGGCGTCATGGGCACTAAAGGATTTTGCCCGTAGTTCAGGTAGAAAGGGGGCTGCTGCGTCGTCGCTGATGTGGCGTTGTTATGGGTCGGTACTATATCCGTGGGTGAATAGGCCTGTTAGAAGTGGGTTGGTTTAGGCGAGTAGGATGGCGTGGAGTTGGGCGCTGGGGCGTGTGAGTGCATCGGCGATGTTGGATGCGCCTTTTTTGTACGTGACCGTGTAGTGGAAGTTGGACTCCAGATAGTCCAAC